TGGGGGATCTCTGGGGTCTGTGGGGGCTCACAGTGGGGTAAGGGGGGCTGATCTGTGGTCAGTGGGGGATCTCTGTGGTCAGTGCGGGCTCTCTGTGGTCAGTGGGGGCTCTCTGTGGTCAGTGGGGGATCTCTGTGGTCAGTGGGGGATCTCTGTGGTCAGTGGGGGCTCTCTGGTATCATGTCATGGGAAGACGGTGAGATGACATGTGACATTCATGGATTTTTCTCTCTTCTTCTAGGCTGAGTCTGACGTGGCCTCTCTGAACAGACGTATCCAGCTGGTAGAGGAGGAGTTGGACCGGGCCCAGGAAAGACTTGCCACGGGTCTGCAGAAGCTGGAGGAGACGGAGAAGGCCGTGGATGAAAGCGAAAGGTTTGTTTGGTGCCCAGTAAGGACACGGGTTCTGGTGTCCACCAGGGATATGGTATCTCGTGCTCACTCAGGTCACAGAATCTGGTGCCCAGTCAGGACACTTGATGTAGGATGGGGGACCGCTCCCTCAGGACATGGGATAGGGTGCCCACCCAGGACACATGAAATCTAGTGCACGTCTGGAACACGTAGGGTGTTGTTCACAAAGCTGGGGAAGGCAGCCGAGGGAATAACCGAGCCGTAGTGAAGTGCGCTGAACAACATTCGGCTATTCACTACGGCTCAGCGTGGCTGATCTCATCCGTACATCGGCTGCACATCAGTATGTAGCAGAGTATGTAGCAGAGTATGTAGCAGAGTATGTAGCAGAGTATGTAGCAGAGTATGTAGCAGAGTATGTAGCATGTTGTTGGCTAATGTCCTATCCTCGTCTATACAATGTATGATGTTAGGGGTAGACCTCGTTCCTCTCTTGGTGGGCTCCATCATGTAAGGTCCGAGGTTCAGATTTTCATATAATCATTGATGGGCTTCTCTCTATAAAAGGAGAAGGCAGCACTTGCAGTTGTTGGTAGATTCAGAGGACGGAGGCACATTTGGTTACTCATATGTAGAACTGATTTCTTCCAGAGGGATGAAGGTCATTGAGAACAGAGCCACCAAAGATGAAGAGAAGATGCATGACCAGGATCTGCAGCTGAAAGAGGCCAAGCACGTAGCTGAGGACTCTGACAGAAAATATGAGGAGGTAGGTTCTTCCAATGCCCAGACATGACTCGGGTTAAGCTGACCTTTTATATGATATGTATCCCCATCACTGGAGCTCAGCTGTCCATCATGGGTGCCTTGTATATCCATCACTGAAACTTAGCTGAACACCATGGGTGCCTTGTATCCCCATCACTGAAACTTAGCTGACCACCATGGGTGCCTTGTATATCCATCACTGAAACTTAGCTGAACACCATGGGTGCCTTGTATCCCCATCACTGAAACTTAGCTGACCACCATGGGTGCCTTGTATCCCCATCACTGGAGCTCAGCTGACCACCATGGGTGCCTTGTATCCCCATCACTGGAGCTCAGCTGACCACCATGGGTGCCTTGTATCCCCATCAGTGAAACTTAGCTGACCACCATGGGTGCCTTGTATCCCCATCAGTGAAACTTAGCTGACCACCATGGGTGCCTTGTATCCCCATCAGTGAAGCTCACCTATCCATCATGGGTCTCTTATATCTCCCCAACTGGAGATTGCCTATTCATCAGGCCCGCCTGGAGCTTCCTCTCCAACATGGCTGACATATATAGTATCTCTATAACTGGATTTCCCCTGTCCATAATGTGTGGGTTGTATCTCATAACTGGAGCTTCATCTGTCCATCATGGATGCCTAGTATATCCAATACTGGAGCTCAGTTGGCCACCATGGGTCCCTTGTATCTCCATCACTGAAACTCCCTTGTTCATCATGGGTGGCTTTTACAGTTTCTCCCTAATTAGATGTCACCTGTCCATCATAGGCGCCTTGTATACCCATTGGAGGAGCTGCCTTGTCCATTATGGGTGCCTTACATCTCCACAATTGGAGTTTACCCCATTTATCTTGGCTGCCTCGTATCTCCATCACTTCATAGGTGCCTTGTATCTCCAAATGTGGAGCTATGTGGAGCATCATGGGTGCTATGTATATCTGGTACTGGAGCTCAGCTGGCCTCCATGGATGTCTTGTATCTCTATAACTGGAGTTAAGTTGTCCACCATAGGTGCCTTGTATGTCCATCACTAAAGCTGACCTGTGCACTATAGGGGCCTGTTCTGGAGTCCGCCGGTCCACCATTCCTTTGGCTGTTATGTTTCCTGTATATCTCTGTCACTGATGGGTCAGCTATGAGATCATTTATCAGCAGCAGAAGCTGTGTAGACAAATCTCACTGAACCGCATCTTGTATGTTCCCAGGTTGCCCGGAAACTAGTGGTGATTGAGACAGACCTGGAACGATCTGAAGAGAGAGCTGAAGTTGCTGAGAGGTAAGCCGCTTTTCATGGATAGAAGTCATGATGAGGTTCTTAATTATTATTGCAATAGTGGTATCATGGCACTCTACTCCTAAAGTCTTGAGGTCTCAGCGCTGGAGTCTTGAGGTCTCAGCGCTGGAGTCTTGAGGTCTCAGTTTTGGAGTCTTGAGGTCTCAGTTTTGGAGTCTTGAGGTCTCAGCGCTGGAGTCTTGAGGTCTCAGCGCTGGAGTCTTGAGGTCTCAGCGCTGGAGTCTTGAGGTGTCAGCGCTGGAGTCTTGAGGTCTCAGCGTTGGAGTCTTGAGGTCTCAGCGTTGGAGTCTTGAGGTCTCAGCGTTGGAGTCTTGAGGTCTCAGCGCTGGAGTCTTGAGGTCTCAGCGCTGGAGTCTTGAGGTCTCAGCGCTGGAGTCTTGAGGTCTCAGCGCTGAAGTCTTGAGGTCTCAGCGCTGGAGTCTTGAGGTCTCAGCGCTGGAGTCTTGAGGTCTCAGCTTTGGAGTCTTGAGGTCTCAGCATTGGCGTCTTGAGGTCTCAGCATTGGCGTCTTGAGGTCTCAGTATTGGAGTCTTGAGGTCTCAGTTTTGGAGTCTTGAGGTCTCAGTATTGGAGTCTTGAGGTCTGAGTATTGGAGTCTTGATGATTAGGACACATTTTTTGGCTGCCAGCCTCCTTATAATGTTCTTCTGTTCTCCCTTCCAAGTCGCTACCGACAGCTAGAGGCAGAACTGCGAACAATGGACCAAGCCTTGAAATCTGTGATAGCAGCAGAGGAAGAGGTACCGGAGAGGAGACTCCGCCTTCCTGTCTCTTCCCCTGTCTCTCTATCATCTGAAATATCTCTGTCCTGATTTCTCTCTCACTTCCTGCTGCATCCAGACCTTGTTGTTCTTGAATGACAGCTGGAAGTCCAATCTGGACAAGCGGCAAACTCTCTGACCGCGTCCGTCATATGGCACCAAACAAACAAGGACCGGGGGTATCCGGTGCCCATCGACCGGCCTCTCTGTAGACTGGCCCCCATGCCTTGTATGCAAGTTACCCTTTATATACCATAGAGTACTCGTACACCAGATACCACCCATCGCCCTTCCCCCCACCCTCTACAGGGTACTAATACACCTCTATACCACCCCACCCCTCCCCCGACCCTCCATACAGCACTAATAGACCCCCCCA